CCTGCTGGCTCCATCCTGGGCTGGCGGCTGGAGGAGAGGGGCTCTGAGTCACATGGTGGCCGCCACAGGAAGTGACACAAGGCAGCCAGGTGGGTGGGCTGAGAGGCAAGGCGGGGCTGGTGGGCCTCGACCAGCTCCCTCCCGCTGTGCCCAGCGCGGAACAGGAAGTTTGGATGGCACTCAGACGCCAGCAGGGCCGGGGCAGGTGTGTGGCGTGGTCACGGCTAGCCGATCCAGGCCAGGGCGCCTCTTCCTCAGTGCTCGCTCCTCCGCCATGTTGCTGTGCATCCTGCCAGAGCCTGGCACGCTGTGACCTCTGGGCCAGGGGTCATTTTGTAGAAAGAGGTGCAGGAGCTCATTAGCATAACTCATTCGCATAACTTATTTGCATATGCCACACCCCCTGACATCACTGGAAGTGTGTCAGAAGGCGACACCCACCGCTCAGGCTCCACTGGACTGTTTTGGGTTGCTAGCTATTGGGTGTGTGTGTATGGGGGGGAACGTGCACATCCGTCCTCACAGTGGAGGGAGAGCTTGTACCTTAATAAAACTTGGTCTTAAAGGTGCCACTGGACTGTTTTGGACCGGGGGCTCTGCAACTTACCTGGCTGCTTCTTGCTCTGACTGAGGGCTGCTGGGAGCAGGGGGTGGGGCTTGTTGCATGTGCCCGCCCCCTGGGCAAAAGAAGTTAAACGTAAAGCAGTATTTGACAGAGATGGGAGAACTGCCAAGTCCCACAACTGGAAAAGTATCTCCTGAGCTTCCGTTTTAAACACAAATACTTTAAACTGCAAAACCCGGATACCAGCTGGAGGTCACAACTCTACTCCCCCCACACACACACTTTTCAGCTTGCAGCTTTCAGTATAAATGCAGCTGCCAGATGGGTCAACATATTAGCTCTGACTCCGGGGAGTTGACACTGGAATAAATTTTGTCTTTCGGATGCCAAAAGAGAAAAAGACACACGTGTACCCCGAAGGAATACTGGAATCCGGCCACGGAAGGCCAATGTAGACCCATAGAACAGGAACCTCATGCTGTGGGTGGCAGATCACCCTAACTGATCCCAGGGTTACTTTTGAAACCCTGCACCGGTGCCTGGACAGTTTTGGAAGGGACGCACGATGCCCCCTCTAAGCTGTGGAGTCTTGTGTGCAAAAATTCTACCTTGTGAGCTACTGGCACCGGAGCTGTGAGTGAGCAATTTGGCTACTGCATGAATTAGTCTGCTCTGGAGCCCTCCTTCCTGAGCTAAGGCAAAAATGTGTGAGCCAGAGGCTCAAGAAGAAGAAGAGATTGGATTTATACCCCGCCCTTCACTACCCAAAGGAGTCTCAGAGCGGCTTACAAACTCCTTTCCCTTCCCCTCCCCACAACAGACACCCTGTGGGGTAGGCAGGGCTGAGAGAGCTCTTTCGAGGACTGCTCCTGAGAGAACAGCTCTGAGAGAACTTGTGACTGACCCAAGGTCACACCAGCAGCTGCACGTGGAGGAGCAGGGAATCAAACCCGGTTCTCCCAGATTAGAGTCCGCGCTCCTGACCATGACACCAAACAGGAGGGGTGTCAGTGGGTGCTCCAGTGCCCGTGGGCACTATGTTGGGGACTTCTTGAACTAAACGTAGGTAGGTGGGGCTGAGAGAGCTCTGACAGAAACTGCTCTTTTTCAAGGACAGCTCTTATCAGAGGGCTTGCCCAAGGCCATCCAGCCAGGTGCAAGTGCAGGAGTGGGGAATCAAACCCGGCTCTCCCAGAATAGTCCACGCACTCAATCACTACACCAAACTGTGAACTAGCTCACACTAACTCAGCTTAGAGGGAACGCTGGACGTGGGCTAATACATCTCGCGCCCCATGAGACAGAAGTGCGATTTGTGTGCGGAAGGTCTGATCCAGGATTTAAGGGGTCACCCATGCTGGATGGGGTCGGGCTACCCTTGGAGGAACGGGGCCTGTAGGCAGCAGCGGTGGCCGGGACAGGAGTGCCTTTGACCGGCTTCGACGGGTCAGTCAGCGGCAGCCTTTCCTTGGGCAGAAAAGACCTGGCTTTGGTTAACCCCGGCTTAGATTACTGCAGCGTGCTCTACGAGGGGCTGCCCTAGTGTTTGGAAATGGCAACTGGCACAGGATCCTGCAGCCAGGAGGTTGACTGGAGTCGGGCCTGTAGCCACAGTGGGGCACGTAGGGGCGGTGCCCCCTCACACGTGGTCCACGCCCCCAACGTCACGGGTGGAGGTCTTCCCCATCCCCAATTGCCAGAGGGCCGAGACCTGGATATCCCAGGCTAGCCTGACCTTGGAAGTTAAGTGAGGCCAGCCCTGGCGAGTGTTTGGATGGGAGACCTCCAAGGAATACCGGAGCCGTGACGTGGAGGCAGGCAATGGCAAACCGCCTCTGAACGTCTCTTGCCTTGAAAACCCCACTAGGGGGCGCCAGACGGCAGCTGCAGCCCTAAACAAGACTTCCTCCCGGCAAAAAAGTACCCTGCTGGGGAGATCTCGCTAGACCCATTCTGGTGGGAGTGGTGGCCTCCTGTAGGTCGGGATTTCTTTCCTCCTGGGGAGAAAACCAGGGCTATTTTTGGGCAGGAACGCACAGGAACGGAGTTCCGGCTGGCTCCCAAGTTGGCCACGCCCAGCAGGAACGCATTAGCATAATTGGCCACACCCAAGAGCAGAAACTCATTAGGATTGGCTACATTAGGGGTGTGTGGCCTAACATGCAAAGGAGTTCCTGCTACAAAAAAAAGCTCTGGGTTTGGACAACAAAGAAGGTAAACAGAATAACAAACAAAAGGTGTGTGTGGCTGGATGAGCACACTTCTGGTAACATGGGGGTGTGGCCTAATATGCCAATGAGCTGTGCTGTCAGGGGTGTGACCTAATATGCTGATGAGTTTCTGCTGTGGGGTGTGGCCTATTATGCTGATGAGTTCCTGCTGGGCTTTTTCTACAAAAAGAGCCCTGGCTCAGAAAACTATTTGCCAGCCAAAGTGCCCCTGTGGCAACAGCTCCTTCCCCACATCAGACAGCTTCAGTGCCTCCAATTAGCTTCATGAAGAAGAAGAGAGGAGGAGGAGGAGGAGATTGGATTTATACCCCGCCCTTCACTCGGAGTCTCAGAGCGGTTTACAATCTCCTTTCCCTCCTCCTCCCCACAACAGGCACCCGGTGAGGTAGGTGGGGCTGAGAGAGCCCTTTCGAGAACTGCTCTTTTTCAAGAACAGCTCTTATCAGAACTATGGCTTGCCCAAGGTCATCCAGCAGCTGTAAGGGGAGGAGTGGGGAATCAAACCTGGTTCTCCCAGATTAGAGTCCACACTCCACCAAACTGGCTTCCATTATGGAGTCATGAGCACCCGTTCTCTGTGGATCTTGGCCATCAAGCGGTCAGATGAGTAGCGCCACCCACCCCCACACTGGAGGAGGAGGAGGAGTTTGGATTTATACCCCGCCCTTCACTCGGAGTCTCAATTACAATCTCCTTTCCCTTCCCCTCCCCACAACAGACGCCCTGAGAGATAGGTGGGGCTGAGAGAGCTCTTTCGAGGACTGCTCCTGAGAAAACAGCTCTGAGAGAACGTGACTGACCCAAGGTCACACCAGCAGCTGCATGTGGAGGAGTAGGGAATCAAACCCAGTACTCCCAGATTAGAGTCCGCGCTCCTAACCACTACAACCAAACTGGCTCTCTAACTGAAAGCTAACTGGAAGAGCCAACTTTTCTCCCTGGCGGGCCGGAACTCCCCATCATAAACTGGGCCAAACCAGGCTGGTAGGCCGCTCCCCAGGTGCTCCTTGTAATAACACTCACAAGAGGGGTTTCCCTGCGGGAATTTGTTAGAAACAGTTGTACTCAAAAGGCTGATTTACAAAAACAAACAAGCAACCGGCAACCTAATGCTGTCCCACCACCCCTTCCTCTTCTTCTCCGCTACAAGGATTTTTGCCTCTTTCCTGTCAACATCCTGCTTTCCAGGGGCCATGCACAAACACGGGGGGCGGGCTCGAAGGACACGGCACCCACGGTGGTGGAACAGCCACGCTGAAGCCACTGAAAACGCGACGGGGTCAGGAGGAGAAGGATCACACTCAGGGAACATCTGGGGAACATACAGGAGTTCTGCAGTGAGCTCTGGTGCGTGCCGCTCTACTGGGCAGAACTTCCCTTGGACTTAGGAGGCAGGGGAAGAAACCCCATAGAGGCGTATCACCGCACACCGGAGCGAAGAGCCGTGACGGAAACGGAGAGGGCACCCCTGCATGTAGAAAGGCAGCATGCCAGGGAAAAAGAGATTTTAAGCTCCGCCCCCTTTCTGGTGTGCTACTTTCCCATAGGCGGAGAGGCTGTTTCTCTCTCTCTCTCTTTTACAGTGGAGAGGGGAGAAATGTGCAGATGGAGGCTGACTCAGCCCAGAATTGCCAGTGTTGGAGAGCAGCTGTTTTCAGACAGAGGGGCATGGTCATGGTACAGAGGGCGGGTGGGGTAAAGTTCGCCCCTCTGTGGTGAGAGGGGTCCCCGACGAGGTGCCCGGTCCACACCTTCCTCGGAGCCCACCGAGCGTGGCGAGAACGGCCCGCAAATGTGCCTCCGTACATCCTCTTCGCTGGCTTCTTGCCTAAATCCACCCCCCTCCAAGGAAGCCGCAAGAGAGTCCAATCGAGCCCAGTCTTCCAAATTCTTTGCCTTTCTTTCACTCCCCCCCCCCCCAAAGTTCCAGGCTCGGGACCGTCTCCTTGTGACACCCCGGGATGGTGGAGGGTTTCCTGCTTCCTCCTCCTCGGAGGGCATCCCTCTGTGCAGTCCTTCCTCCCTCCCCACAGGGGGCGCCATCACGAGTAGCTGAGCGGCATCTTCCTCCACAGGCCGCCGCAGAGGCAGTTCTTGATCCACCGCTGCTCCCACTGCTTCACGGCCGTCGCCTTGTTCGGGGACTTGAGCATCGTGACGCAGCCACACCTGTGGGCGGGACAGGGAGCGCGCCGCCGTCAGAACCAGGAAACGAGATCCTCCCTTCCCACCCGTCCCACGCCACGCTGCTTACCTGGTACAGGATTTACATTCCTCAGTCGGGTATGCCCCAAGGTGAAGCCGGCGCAAATGGTCGATTTTGGGCTGCCCGGGTGCCCTGAGAGGGAAGGGGAAAGGTCACTTTGGTTTACTGTGAAAGGAGCCTGCCTGGATCAGGGCCTGAATCAGGGGTCATTTCCTGCCGGAGCGCCCCGGAGCGGCGCTCAGGCAGTAAGGAGCCCAGGCCCCGCCCCCCGCCCACGGAGAGACTCAGGGAGGGGGGGCACCTGGAGAAGATCGAGCAGGGAACCCAGGCATGTCTGCCTCCCTGCCCTTCCCGTCTCCAGCCAGCCTGCCTGAACTCACTTTAAACATGCCTGCCCGTTGTCATGGAATGTGGCGTATGCAAATGAGTTATGCAAATGAGCTCCTGCACCTCCTTTTTGGGGAAATTACCCCTGTCCAGCATCCTACCCTGTCCAGCATCCAATCTGGCATTCTCAGGGGTGAACTGTCCCTGGAGCGGGAGGTCCGTTCATCTATCATGGCTTCCCTGTCTATGAAGCTCATTTTGTCTCATCCACGGGTCCCCAACGAGGCGCCAGTGCGCGCCACGCTCCCACAAGCACCTTTCCCAGATCCCACCAAGTGTTTTTAGAAAGTTCAGAAGAAGATTGGATCTATACCCCGCCCTTCCCTCAGAGTCTCAGAGCGGCTTACAATCTCCCTTCCCTCCCCCTTCCCGCAACAGACTTCCTGTGAGGTAGGCGGGGCTGAGAGAGCTCTTTCGAGGACTGCTCCTGAGAGAACAGCTCTGAGAGAACTTGGTGACTGACCCAAGGTCACGCCAGCAGCTGCATGTGGAGGAGTGGGGAATCAAACCCGGTTCTCCCGGATTAGACTCCGCGCTCCTAACCATGACACCAAACTGGCTGGGTGGGTGGGGCTCTTGCCCAACAAGGCTTCCTATTGGCCGCTGGAGATCTGATTAGCTGTGCAGTCCAAAATAATGTTTCGGTGGCAGCTGCCCCCAGTGCTAGTTTTATTATCTCGCTCTTCCCCAGTGTACTTTTTAAATTACCTTTCTTCTCCCCTTCATGTGGGCTTCTTCTGTCTGCGTGGCTCCGCCTCCAGTGGGAGCCATTTTGTGGTCAGCTCCACTTTCTGTGGCAACCACTTTGTGCTTGCGGCCACCACCTTATGTCAGAATCCCAAAGGTGCCTGCAGGCTCAAAAAGGCTGGACACCCTTGGTCTAAACCCTTTTCTCTCTCCCTCCAAAAGGGGTACAGGATTGTGTCCACCATTTTGTCTTGTGGCAATGAGTTCCACGGGTTGTTGTGTGAAAGAGGCATTTCTGTGAGCCCTGCACCTGCTGCCCGACAGCTTCCCTTCAAGAAGCCCACAGAGCAGAGCAAAAATAAGAAACGTCCCTCATCTAATTTCTGTCCCCGGTGCAAGGACTTTAGCGATAGACTGCCACTGAACGTAGCTGCTCTATTTACCTTTCCTAAGAACAACCCTGTTGCATCGGTGGGGGGGATCTGGGGGGGGGTGTTCTGTGGGTGGGCAGGGACATCAATGCGTTGGGGGTGCTGCTCCACTTCTTGGGCAAACTCTATGGTAAAAATGGCCTCAAACCATAGAGTTTTGCCCCAAAAGCAGAGCGTCACCCCCCCAATGCCCTGATGTTACTTCCGGGTGACGACAGCACGTCACGCATGGGGTCAGGGTGGGGGGGACTCTCAACCCACCGGCCAGCTGGCCAGCAGCGGGCAGGAGCCCACAAAAGCGGGGGATATCCCGCCCCCACTTGCTGATTGGGAACCCCAGCAGGGTCGTACCCATAGCCCATCCTCTCTGCAGCAGCCCCAAAGCCGTGGTATACTGCTGCTGCAACTGGAGGTTCCATCGTCGCTAAGACTAGTGCCACGGCTTTGTCAAACCCACTCCACGAGTCCGGGTGCCGCAAAAGCGACGGCGCACCCGGTCCGCCGGCCTACCTGGCGAAGGCGTCGTACTGCAGCAACGCGGAGTGGCCCGCCAGCCCCGGGGGCTTCCCGAACTGCAGGCGGAGGGGCTGCTTGTTCTGCAGCTTGCTGATGATGGAGTCGTTGGCGGGCAGCCAGCCGATGCTGGGGATCAGCAGCTGGCTGGGCAGCAGGCAGCACTCGTCGATCAGGGCATCGTCCGGCTCGCTGGGGTGGTTCTCGTCGCGGCCTGCGCAAAGGAAACCAGCCCCTCTCAGGTCCCGTCTCCAGCCTTCCCCCAGTTCTCTGCCCCACCTTCACCAAGGCACCGCCCCGAGTGGCCCACAAGTCTAAAACCACACAAGTCTAAAACCATTCGACGCGGAAAAGCCTGCTGAGAGCAGTGTTCCCTCTAAGCTGAGTTGCGGTGAGCTGGCTCACAGTTTGTTAGCCTCCAGCGCACGCATTTTTGTCGTAGCTCAGAATGGTGGCTCCAGAGCAGTGTTCCCTCTAAGCTGAGTTAGTGTGAGCCGGTTCAGTTTGTTAGCCTCCAGCTCATTTGTTAGCCTCTGGCTCACGCATTTTTGTCGTAGCTCAGGAACGGTGGCTCCGGAGCAGTGTTCCCTCTAAGCTGAGGTAGTGTGAGCTAGCTCACAGTTTGTTAGCCTCTGGCTCACGCATTTTTGTCGTAGCTCAGGAACGGTGGCTCCGGAGCAGTGTTCCCTCTAAGCTGAGGTAGTGTGAGCTAGCTCACAGTTTGTTAGCCTCTGGCTCACGCATTTTTGTCGTAGCTCAGGAACGGTGGCTCCGGAGCAGTGTTCCCTCTAAGCTGAGGTAGTGTGAGCTAGCTCACAGTTTGTTAGCCTTCGGTGCACGCATTTTTGTCGTAGCTCAGGAATGGTGGCTCCATAGCAGTGTCCCCTCTGAGGTAGTGTGAGCTAGCTCACAGTTTTTTTAGCCTCCAGCTCGCAGATTTTTGTCTTAGCTCAGGGAGGATGGCACCAGAGCAAACTAATTTATGCAGCGGCCAAATCGCTCGCTCACAACTTCAATGCTGACAGTTCACAAAGTGGAATTTATGCTTGGAAGACTCCACAGTTTTAGAGGGGCCACTGGCTGAGAGGTTTACAAATTGCAGCCCTTCAAACCCTGTCTAAATTATTTTATCGTTTCGTTCATTCATTTATACCCCATCTTTCTCCCCAAGGGGGACCCAGAGCAGCTGACAACCTTCTCCTCTCCTCCGTTTTTATCCTCACAACAACCCTGTGAGGTAGGTTGGGCTGAGAGAGTCTGACTCACCACTTTAATGCCGGCAGCTCACAAAGTAGAATTTTTGCTCACGAGACTCCGCGGCTTACAGGGAGCACCGGCTGGGACTGGCCTATACGACAGCATTCCACATCCTAAGAAGTCCATCACAAAGCATAAAAATAACAAACTGATGATGAAAACAGATGGACCAGCGTCTGTTTGCAATGACAAAGTTAAAAAAGCAAGAAGATGAGCCCTGAGTCCTCTTCTGGGCATAGAGCATGCGGTCACTGCAGGTGTGTGGGGGGGAGGTATTTGTGAATGTCCTGCATTATGCAGGGGATTGGACTAGATGATGAAGAAGAGAAGAGATTGGATTTATACCCCGCCCTTCACTACCCAAAGGAGTCTCAGAGCGGTTTCCAAACTTCTTTCCCTTCCCCTCTCCACAACAGACACCCTGTGAGGTTGGTGAGGCTGAGAGAGCTCTTTTGAGAACGGTCCTTGAGAGAACAGCTCTGAGAGAACTTGTGACTGACCCAAGATCACACCAGCAGCTGCATGTGGAGGAGTGGGGGATCGAACCCGGTTCTCCCGGATTAGAGTCCACACACTTAACCACTACACCAGACTGGCCGTGGAAGTCCCTTCCAACTCTATGATTCTATCACCAGGCAAGCCCGATCTCGTCAAATCTTGGAAGCTAAGCAGGGTCGACTCCGGCAAGTACTCAGATGGGAGACCCCCAAGGAATACCAGCAGTCGGGAGGTGGGGGCAGGCTTTACTCAGCCACCTCTCTGAATATCCTCCATGCCCCCAGGAGGGGTCAGTCACCAGAGGTCGCCATGACTTCCAGGTGTGCACGCACTCATGTGCACACATATGAAAAATACGGAGGGGGGGGAATACAAAAAAGAAAGCGGAAAGACACGGAAAAGGGCACCCTCCTCCATCCCCAGAGAGCCCCCCGGCTACTCACGGATGCCGCGGGAGCTGCGAATGCCAGGCTGAGAAGCATGAGCAGCGGGATCATCTCCTCGTTGGTCTCCACGTAGGGCATGGAGAGCGCTCGGTCGTAGCACTGGAAGCCCACCTTGGCAGGCTTGAAGAGGTCGGTTAGCTCCAGAAAATAGAGGGTCACAATGGAGGAGGCCACGATGGGCAACTGAAAGAAGAACGGAAGCGATTCAGGAACGAGCAAATATTTGTCGGGGATCCTGGGGTTCGAACTCAGATCCTCGTGGCCGGAAGCTGGGGCTTAGTCTAGCTAGGAAGGGTAACTCACTGGCCAGCCCCCTCCCCTCCTGTTCCTCTCCCACACTTTTATTCTGGAGTGTCCCCTGTAAATTCTCTACTTCAGGTGTGCCTAATTTATTTTGGCCTCTGGGCACCTTTGAGAGGGGGGTGGTGAGTGCCACCCCAAAATGGCTGCCGGGGAGGTGGGGCCAAATGCAAAATGGCTGCCTCAGGAGGTGCAGCCAAATGGAATGCCTCCCTCCTCACACTTCCTGGGAAGACGGCCAGCCTGTAGAAGAAGATGAGGATAAAAGATTGGATTTGTACCCCTCCCTTTACTACCCGAAGGAGTCTCAGAGCAGCTTACAATCTCCTTTCCCTTCCCCTCTCCACAACAGACACCCTGTGAGGTAAAAGAAGAGGAGATTGGATTTATCCCCCGCCCTTCACTACCCAAAGGTGTCTCAGAGCGGCTTACAAACTCCTTTCCCTTCCCCTCCCCACAACAGACACCCTGTGAGGTAAAAGAAGAAGAGATTGCATTTATACCCTGCCCTTCACTACCCGAAGGAGTCTCAGAGCAGCTTACAATCTCCTTTCCCTTCCCCTCCCCACAACAGACACCCTGTGGGGTAGGCAGGGCTGAGAGAGCTCTTTCGAGGACTGCTCCTGAGAGAGCAGCTCTGAGAGAACTTGTGACTGACCCAAGGTCACACCAGCAGCTGCACGTGGAGGAGCGGGGAATCAAACCCGGTTCTCCCAGATTAGAGTCCGCGCTCCTGACCACGACACCAAACAGGAAGGGTGTCAGTGGGTGCTCCAGTGCCCGTGGGCACTACGTTGGGGACGTCTGAACTAAACGATGATGCCCTAATCAAAGCCCGGCAGAGAAGGGTCAGTACCTGATTCGGCAGACTGGCGAGGAGGTAGAGGACAAAGTCGCCCACCCACTGGATCAACTGCTGGAGCGACTGCAGAGTGGTCATTTCCAGGACAAACTCCTCTGTCTTCAGGTTAATCATCACCTTGTCGATATCTGCAAATGGTGGGGAGAAATCCGAGTCACCCCCCATCCCCAGCAAGGCAACCTTCCTTTCCACTGGAGGCCGGGCTCGATTGCTTGAACCCCAGGGAAACATTCTGCTCCCCAGCCACGGACAGGAGCCGTGGCATAGTGGTAGAGCATCGGCTTGGCGGGCACAGGGTCCCCGGGTCCAATCCAATCTTCCCTCTAAGCCGTGGAGTCTTGTGAGCAAAAATTCTACTTTGTGAGCTGCCGGCACTAAAGTGGTGAGCGAGCGATTGGGCTGCTGCATAAATTAGTTTGCTCCGGAGCCATCTTTCCTGAGCTAAGACAAAAATGTGTGAGCCGGAGGCTAAAAAACTGCGAGCTGGCTCACACTCACTCATCTTAGAGGGAACACTGGTCCAATCCCTGGCATCTCCAGTTACAAAACGATCAGGTCAGAAGCGATGCAAAAGACCTCTCTGCCTGAGACCTTGGAGAGCGGCTGCCCATCTGAGCAGACCATACCGACTCAGCATGAGGCAGCGGACTCGCAATCATGGGTTGAATTGAAGGGCGGGAAGGTACCGGCTGGATATTAGGAGAAACTTTTTGACAGTTAATAGTTGTGCCGCAGGGGAATCAGCTGCCAAGGGAGGTGGCGAGCTCCCCCTCCCTGGCAATCTTCAAGCAGCGGCGGGACAAACACTTCTCCGGGATGCTCAGTCTAGGCTGGTCCTGCCTTGAGCAGGGGGTTGGGCTAGGTGGCCTGGACGGCCCCCTTCCAGCTCGGTGATTCAATTAATCTTCTTCTCCCAATCTTGTCATACTGGACCTTGGGAGCACCTCATGAAGCCGACTGGTGGGTAATTCGAGGCAAGAGGAAGAACTTATGAAACTCGCTGCCATAAAGGTATGAGTGATCGCCACTTAAGGATTTTTTACTGGACATCAAATCGCAGCCGACTCATGGCTGCCCGGTAGAGTTCTCATGGCAAGAGACCTTCAGAGGTGGTTTGTGACTGCCTGCCTCTGCGCAGTGACCCTGGGCCTCCTTGGATAGAGGTGACACACATCCACACCAACGAAATCTCTGATACCAGAATAATTTGAAGCATTGGCATGGCTATATTTATGGCCCAACATATAAGCTAGTAGCATAACTAAAAGCATATAAGGAAACAACATCTGGTGATATATATATATATAGATACACACACACACATATATACATACATACACAGACACACATATATATATACACACACACATATATGTATATATAGGGGTCATTTCCTGCAGGAGTGCACAGGAGCAGAGCTCCGGCAGTAAAGAGCCCAGGGGGTGGGCACATGCAACAAGCCCCACCCCCTGCTCCCAGCAGCCCTCAGTCAGAGCAAGAAGCAGCCAGGTAAGCTGCAGAGCCCCCCCCCCCAGGCCCACAGTCCAAAACA